GCGCTACCGCTTGAGCCACATCCCCAGCCCCTGGTAGTGCTTTTTAATAAGACAATATTATTATTTCCTTACCCAGACTGGGCCAGGCTTAGAGGGAATTGGTGCCAGACTATATTTACTTACTTGCCTAGGACCCTACCCTACATAAGGAGCAGACACTCGTGAGACTCCCAAGCCCATACTATCCTATGATGGACTTGTGTGGTCTTGCCATCTAGGAAGGTGCATCACCATAAGCCAAACCATCAGTTGGCTAAATCTCAGCTCTTCCCAGCCATGCTTGTTATAGTGGGTCCAGGGAGCTTTGTAACTACTCACTACTCCATTGGAGTTACCAAGAAAGAGTTTTGGTTTAACCTCTTTTTACAACTTGACTCATCTGCTATCATCACCTGGTCAGACTATAAGAACATTCTGGTAGTTCTCTGAAATAAGAGAAAAATAATTCTGTAGCTTGGTGGTAAAGCACTTGTGTAGCATGTGCAAAGGCCATGTGCTTGATCCTCAGCACTGAAAAACATACTGCTAATTACCTAGGCATAACGAATCAGGCACAGGCATTATAGTTAGAATTTATTTAATTCTTATTAAAGATACTTATTATTTCTAATTCACTGAAAACTGAGATTCAAGAAAGGTAGGTCCGATGTTTCAAGTGACATAGTAAGTTAAGTGGCAGAGCTAAAATTTGAATTTAATTCTTTAAAATCATTCATCATACCATGATTCCTCCCATAATTCTATAGGAAGAGGGTCCTTGTGCTACACATAGGATAACTCAGGAGATTTTCATTCACATCATCCATATGCATATCCCATTCCTGCCTTTGTGATCTGGGACAAGTTGCTTCCAACTTCTCAAACCCATAGATAACTGTCTCATTAAATCACCACATCCATGTGACATAAGTACTGTTCTTACCTTTTTTCCATTTGCAGAGGCTGGGCCTCAGTGAGGTGAGATGACCGGCCAAGGTTACAGAATAGTAACTTCTATTAATAGTAACTTCTTGGGTCTAGGTTGAACACCTAGTTCACTGTGATCTCACAGCCAGCTTCTCTCAGGATGTTGGTTGGAAGCCTGCAGGAAGAGCAATGGCTTCACCCTTTTCTGCATTCTCCCTTTTTTCCTCCCATAGTCTCTTCCACTTTTAGAAACCTTAATAAGGTGCTGGGTAAAGTAGAGCATGCCTGTAATCCCAGTACTCACTTTGAAGGCTGAGGCAGGAGAATTCAAAGCCAGCCTTAGCAACTTAGTGAGGCCCTAAGCAAATCAGTGAGACCCTGTCTCTAAATAAAATATAAAAAGATTGGGGATGTAGCTCAGTGGTTAAGTGCCCCTGGGTTTAATCCCTGGTACAAAAAGGGGGTTGGGGGGCAGATGGGGATAATAAAATATAAAAAAAGATTGGGGATGTAGCTCAATAGTAAAGTGTCCCTGGGTTCAATCTCCAGTACTTTAAAAAAAAAAAGAAGAAGAAACTTTAGTAAAGGAAAAGACATAGGTAATGCTTAAAATTGCTTCAACTTCCCTATAGAAGCCTAGGAGCCTGCTTTCCATCTCTGGTGTGGGTTTGTACTGGTTACTCTTGGCAGCATGGTGTGTAGGGGGGGTGGGGGGTCTAGTTTAGGGACAGTTCTTTATCAGTATACTCTTGCAAGGTTGTTGTGAAAGTTAGACATGATAAATATTCAAGGAGAGCAGGCAGAAGCTCATTGATGGCAGGGATTTTTTTTTTTTCTTGGCAACAGAGTCTAACAGAAAACAGACTGGGAGACAACTCTTAATAAATCTTTTATTTTGTGATATTAGGTGAATCACTGTCTCTAGATAGACTAGGTAATCTCTAGAGATCTCTTTCATCTTTAGTATCCTCTGCTTTTTTAAAAATGGAAGTAATAGAGCCAGGCATGGTGGTACATGTCATTATCCCATTAGGAGGCTGAGGCTGCAGGATTGCGAGTTAGAGGACAGCCTGGGCACTTTATCAAGACCTAAAATAAAAAGGCTGGGGAAATAGCTCAGTAGTGGAGCATGTGCCTACCATGCATGAGGCCCAGGGTTAAATTCCCAGTACTGAGAGAAAGAAAAGGAAGTGATAGATGTTTTTAACCAAAAAATAAAGGAACTCCGTTCCCCCCCCCCCCCACTTGAGTTCATTCCTGAAATAACCCGTTTTACCAGTTGTGGAGTCTTTTCCAGTGTTTTCTGTGTATACTGGATATATGTATGTATAAATGTGTACACATAGTGCAACATTGTGGCACATGCCTGTAATCCCAGCTACTCAGGAGGCTGAGGCAGGAGGAGCACAAGTCTGAGACCAGCCTAGGCAATTTAGAGAGAGCCTGTCTCAAAAAGGTCTGGGGATATAGCCTCGCCATAAATTGATCCTGGGTTCAATCCCCAGTACCACAAAAACATAAAAAACTTAAAAATAAACATACAACTCTGTATAGTACACATGTATCCATGTATGTTTTATATATACTGGAATTTATATAATAGATATTGTATTGTCTTGGTTCTTTCACTTGTTTTGGCTATTTTTTTTTTTACTTAATTGCTTTTATTTATTGTCTTCTAACTTATTAAATAGCTCCCTTCTGATTACCAGCTGTGATTTTTTTTAAAGCAAATATACACGCACAATGTTGAATTTTAAATTTTTCTTTTTAGGAAAAGAAGAAAAAGAAACATAGAGACAAGAAGTCATCTGACTCCGACAGCTCAGACTCTGAGAGTGATACAGGCAAGAGAGCAAAGCACACATCAAAAGATAGCAAGGCGGCTAAGAAGAAGAAAAAGAAGAAGAAGCATAAGAAGAAGCACAAGGAATGAGAGTAGAAAAGAGAGGACGGGGTGGTTGAGAGAATAAGGAACCAGGAGTTTTGTGCCTTGAAGCTCTGGCTCCTGAAAAGACTCAATAGTGAGAATATGGCCTCCCACCCCGTTGACATCTATGGGAATGCAGCAAGCAGGTTTGGGAGTTACAGGTCAGAAGCAGCCGCCTGAATGAGTTGTTCTTTCCTTACTGCTTCTGATCTCTTTGCAGTTGACCCCTGAGGCCCACCCATTCATTCACCCTATTTTTTTTCATTCAGCAGGAGGTCTGTTTACCCTCCTCAGCTACCACTGCCAGAGCTGGATACCTTTATAGGAGTCCAGGCTAAAGCCACAAGTACTGCTGTGGAGGTGAGAGCCTGGCTGTATTTGAACAGTGACTGGTGCCTTCCTGTTGTCTGTCTTGAACCAGGCGATGGGTTAGTTTATGCTGCCTATGTGGGAGCAGAGGGAAACTGGCAGCAAGAGGGAGAACGTGGTAAGGAGTGGTGCTCACTTTTTCCATTCCCTAGTATGGTTCTACTAGGCTAGAAGTGACAGCCAGTGACCACAGCCATAAAACAGTCATTTGCAGTTTGACTTATCTTGTATATGACATTCCAACAGACCACTGAACCAGACATATGAAGCCAAGGTCATTGCTCTACTTTCTATTTATTACTGTATGATTTGGCTAGTTCCACTTCAGGTCTCTGCTTAAATTCCTGGCACTAAATGGAAATGTGTTTGGTTTGAAACCTGCTCAAAGTTCTTATTCTTATAATCCTTCTTCTTGGTTAACATAACAGATTTAAAGTCACTGAATCTGCATTAGTTTATAGAAAAACATTTAATATGTTCCCTTAGACCTTGGAGAGAAGCCTAGCCAAGGGCTGATACAAAGCTAGAGGTACTAGCAGGCCACAGCTTTCTTGGAAGATCACTTATAAACCCTTCTGTAATGATCAGATGATCTATTTTCCCAGAGTTGATTAGAGAACCAGTAAGAATTTATAACCTTTGAGTACTAGCCTGGTGCATAATGAGAGCTTAGCAGTCATCTTGGCCACTGGTCATCTTCTCCCACAGTAGCCCAAGCCTGGATCCTATGATCCTGTACTCTGGGAAGGGAGAAACCACAGCATCCCACAAAGGGCCAGACAAAAGAAAGTACTCAGTGCAGTATGGGCCAGGGGTGACAGTTCAGTGGTCAACGCGCCAATGACTGGAATAGGTGATTTGACCCAGGGAGGAGCAATGTCAAGGCAAGATGTAGGTGCAGCTATCATCATTGAATGTCCCTGACATTGTCCATTTTAGCTTCTCATCCAGTGTTTCAAGTGACCTTAAAGCAGTTATTTCTGCCCATTGACACCTGGGGAAAACTTAGACTCCCAGAACCACATCACCAGAGGCAACTGCATGGCCTCTGCTCTGCTTTATTGACTTCAGAGCATATTGGATACAGTTTAAAAAAAAAAAGAAGAAAAGGAACACATACATACACAATGGAAACTGGGGATGCAGGCTGGTGTCACCTGATCCCAGAAGAATTCCTCAAAGTAGGTTTATACAAAATTCCAGAGGAAAAAAATGAGGCAATGTGGTGCTGAGTCCAGGGGTGGCCAGTTGACAGAGGAACAGTCAGTGACAGTGCTGGTGCGTCATGCCTCTTTTTCGTAAGTGCGAGTGCACACTACACTGCCATGGGTGAGTGTCTGGAAAGAAAGATGAGAGTCAGACAGGAGAAGACCTCAGGAGTACTTACTCATCCTGATGAGTGTCACTTGAGTACCTACTATGTGCCAGGTACTTTACATTTCTGATATGTACCAAGTCTTTTTTAAGGTAGGCACTATAATTCCTACTTTAGAGATTTATTATTTATTTATCTTAAAAGAAGATACAATTTGTTTCTCTTTTTCTTACATCATTTMGCTTCTTTCATCCTTATGGGTAAGATGGTGCCTGGCTCATAGTAGACAAATAGGTGAATAAAAATGTCCAGAGATACTTGAGGAATGGCTGTGCTAAGCTACCAACTCTCCATTCTTCCCCTAAGTTCCCTAAGTTGGGGCAGGGCCAGGGCCAGATCCCCACCCGTCTGGTGTCATAGAGGCAAGCCATGGCCTCACAATAGTCTGAACAGCCAGTGAGTATTTGGTCCTGTATGTGCTATTCCCACCAAAACTAGGAACTTCATTCCTAACTCTGAATTCAAGAATGGCCCCATGTTGAGTGCAAGAATGAAGGTAGCAAGTTATGCTCCCCAGGAAGGTCTGCAGTGAAGACGCTGAGGTAAGAACCTGAGGCCCTGCAGAGTTAGAAGGTAGAGATCCCAGTGGCTGCTATCTGTGCCCTGAATCTGGGGGAAGAGTTCCCTCAAGGGTACATTCTCCAAGTGAAGCCCCCAAGCTTGTCTAAATAGATCTGCCAGCCATTTTTGCTACTTTCTACCCAGGCAATAATCAGGTACTTGCAGGAGGCCAGACCTAGAACTAACTCTAAGAGGAGGTCTTACTGGAATGGGGAAGAAAGGGTTGTGCTGTCCATCAGTGCCTCCAGTCATCAGGCTTCCCCTGCATGTGACAGCATAACACTAGAGAGGAGAGGGAAGGAAATGCTTTGATAGGAAATGGGAGCCTATCCTGGAGAGCCTAGAATCAAATTGGCCCTGCTTCCCATCTCTTCTTGGGCGTGGAGCATCCACTATCCTCCTCCCTCCCCAGTGAGGGTTTCTGCTGTGCATACCCAGTCTCTTTCAGACTTCCCAGAAGCACTAAAAGGTAGGTGTTATTAATACCCACTTTATCGTTGCACTTGGAGAAGGTGACTTGTCCAAGTCATGTAGCCTATAAACAGATTTAAACCCAGACCTTTGTGAGTCCAAAGCTATGACCTTTCTTCTGCCTCTCCTATCCCAGCTTTGATGGCTCCTGGGGATGACCTTGGCTTTTTACAGGTTTGGCTCTTTACAGGTTAGTAACCAGTTAGCTAAGGCTCCACACTTGCCCATCTTACCAAGATGAGTTTCCCATCATTTAGCTCCCGCACAAGTGTAGTCTCTTGCCCGTCCCACTTCTGCACGTGGACAAGTTTTCCTCCATCCAGCGTCACAGTGGACTGTGGAAAAAGGGTAGAGGCCTGAGCAGTGATCTGAGCCAGGACTGAGGAACAGGATAAGAAAGAGAAAGAAAAGCACTTATCCTGTCTGCTATGTGATGTCCACAGCCCTGCTTCCTCCAAGATACAGAAGACATGTACCTGTCCATATTCCTGACAAAGCTGAGGAGGAGTTCTGAGGACCTCTTTTTGGTCATGGTCATCACAGTGCCTAAAAGACCCTTAGATGGGGAGTATTAGGCTTCCCTCTTCTCTTCTCAGTCCACATCATGTGATCCCCTTCAGCTGACAAGAGGGCAGCAACTACAAGGTCCTAGGACTGGGTGTCCCTGGAGTGTTCCTTAGCCCTGGCTCAAAGGCCCACTTAGTCCTCTGGGTGCTGCCAGCCTGCATCAGCTGGTTCTCATTTGGCAACTTTCCCAGGTCTCTCTTCTCTAGGAATTTGGGGGCTATAGTCCAGACTTGGGAACCTTGCTAAGCAAGATTCAGCAGGAGATGAGAAGGTCATTATGTGTTTGTGTTGCTTCTATCTTGCTGTGCTGTCTGTAGCCCACCTTACTCATTTTCATCCCTCCTAAGTTTTTTGCCCACTCAGAGCAGATTATTTTTGGCCCTCACATTCACATCCCTGTGTTTGAATGGGGTTTTTGCCCCTCAAGAATATGGCAAGCTTAAGGAGGTAGGGATATGTGGTGTGTGGTGGGGCTGTGACTTTCCAAAGTCAGCTTCTTTCTTAGGACAACCAACATCCCCTGCTCCACTGCCAGCCTGCTGTGCAATCCTGCACTGGGCTTTAACTCCTCTCCCTTTGCAAGGAAAACAGYCCCTACCCTGTTCTTCCTGTAGGCAACTGTGAGGAAGAGAAAACAGCTGAAAAGCTGTGTTTTAGGGTACTGGTGAAGAGGACACTGCTTAGAGACACCCTAGAAGTCAGAGTCCCTTATTTCTCTCCCATGCCTGGTCCAGAGCTGGGAATCCTGAGGCAAGCTGCCAAGACAAAAACATCATGGGGTAACAGARACCTGAGACTGGGGGGTAGATGCTTACTACCCACCCCCTGGAAGAGGGAGTTAAGACTGTGGGAAGACTACAAACACCCATGACAGCTGAGTGGCCACCTCAGAACACGATTCTAACTGCCTGTCAGGTGGCCACACTGGAAATACTTTCAGGGTCACTGGCCAGGCTTGGGAGTTACAGGTTGCAGAAGAGGGAACATCTGGATAGGTCTCAGTCTCTTGTTCCCAGCTGCCTGCTTAGCTGTGGAGGCCTGGACAACCTTACTAGTGGAGGGCCCTGGTTTCTCCTGTGCATCAATCCCAGAGCACTTCAGATCACAGCCATGGCCACTTAACTCCGTCTATGGAAGGGGAAAGAAACCCAGTGCTATGGCATACGTTGCACAAGGTCACCCAGCTGGAGCTAAAGGAGCACAAGGTCAGAACATTCTGGCTCTGTGCTGCCCACTCCCAGAGGCAGCTGGTAGTTGAGTCCCAAGAAGGGAGGAAAGAAAACAAGTGGACAGAACTAATATGTATTTAGCACCTAGGACAATCCAGCACTGAACAGGCTTTATGAAACCTTGTGTCACCCAAGTTGCCTATGAGAGCCTGCTCCTCAGTATGCAATGACAAGGGTCTCAGTACCCTTGTTCCCCATGCCCCCTTCCCTGACTCACCTTGACCTTCCTGTCATCTGCTGTAGTCTCATCAAACTCCTTCCCCAGCTGAAAACTGATCTCCGTGTTCTTGAAGGTACTCTGTGTTTTTAAGATGATGGTGTCCCCATTCTTTTCGATGATTGTAGTGGGCTTGGTCATGCTGGCCACTTGCCTGGTAGCAAAGCCCACACCTGAGAGCGAGGGGAAGATTATGAGAATATGGAGCTGCCACTGAGAGGCACTGCACAAGCTCAAAGAATGATTCTTAGACCAGGATCAACCTAAGTCTTTGTGTGGCCTTCTATGCCAGAGGCACTTGACTACTGAGCCATATCTCCAGCCTTTTTATTTTTTATTTGGGGACAGGTCCTCACTAAATTGCTAAAGCTGGTCTCAAACTTGTGATCCTCCTGCCTCAGCCTCCGAGCTCACTGGGATTACAGGTGTTGCTGCTGTGTCTGTCTGCCATTATTATTTTTAAAAATTCAGTCTTCCTCTTACAATGAAGCAAACAAATTTAACCCCAATATAAGGAACAGGCATGCCATAGTAAGACAGTGACAGAACTGAGATTGGAATAAGTTATCAGGTAGCCAGGCACGGTGACACACTTGTAATCCTAACTACTTGGAAGGCCGAGGCAGGACAATGACAAGTTCGAAACCAGACTAGGTAATTTAGTGAAACCTTCAACAACTTAGCAAGACCCTGACTTGGGGCTGGGGATGTAGCTCAGTACTAGAATACCCCAGGTTGAATCCCCAGTACCAAAAATAATAAGGTACCAAGTACACCGTTCAGTCCTTCCTGCCCCCTTGCAGGGTTGATAACAGTTACACTGTATCTCTACAGATGTAAACACAGATGGAGTTTAAGCTCAGGGTCACAAACCTGAAGTTGAAGCATTAACTGTTTCACTACAGAGCTTACTTATCTGCTCCTCCATGCCACCTCCCAAGACACAGCACCAGGTGACCCTCCAGGGCACCTGAGTAGCTCAAGCTCAGGTAAAGTGGACTTTGGCTTCCAAAGCCCTGGGAACAAGAATTTTCCACCTTTGGAAATTTTTACCCCTGAGAAGCATTAGTACTCTTATCCCCCCAAATGTGGCCATACGACCGATTTAGGAATCAGGTACAAATCTAGGAGACTTGGGAGAAGCCTAAAGTGGTAACCACAATGAGTTAAGAAAAACTCATCTCCTGACTCCTAGCCTGAGGTCCTATGGGGACTCTCCTGGCCTATGCATGGCTTCCCTGGGTGCTGGACAAAGTCCTGAGTGTCCTACAAGCAAAAGAACACCGAACTTTTAGGCTAAGCCTTCATCCTTTCAGGTTGTAGCTTTCCTGGAATCTGTCCTTCTGCTACTGAACTTTGATCATGACTGCTGTGCCCAGCTGCCCCCAGCAGCCTGTGCTGAGCCGTCCCCCAAGGCAGAGGTGAGGCCGGAGGCAGCCCAGGGTAGTGAAGTGGTGTCTGGTTTTCTAATGTACCTGAGTACATAGTGCCTGCTGGAAGCTGTGTACCTTGTACATATTCTACACAGGTTGTTCTACTTAATGCTTGGAACAGCCCTAAGGGTGGGTTTTATTGTTCCCAGTCCACAAATGAGGCTCTGTCTGGGGTCTTATCCAAAGTCAAAAAGCAAGTGACTGCTCTAGACTCCCAGACTGTTCACTGTTCCCACTAGGCCATTCTGCCCAGCACAAGTGCATGCACCAAGGCTACCAGTTGTGCCTGTGGTCAGTGGGACTAAGCTGGGCCTTTCTGCCTCTCGAGAACCCTTGGTCTGGGGCACAAGGGGCAGGGACTGACTCTGCAGTTCTACTGATGCCAGCCCATCCTACCTGGCCATTGAGGGACTGGGCCTTACCTCCTGGTATCAGAGTGAGTCAGGCCAGTTATACTCCCTAGTGCAGAAGTGGGCCTTGTCACTGCAACCAGAAGCTGTTTGCTCAGGACCTATCTAGGGACATAGAGTGTGGGACTGAGACACAAGAAACTAAGATGACTCATGCCTGTAATCCCACTGACTTGGGAGACAGGAGGATTAGCAARTTCAAGGCCAGCCTCATCAACTTAGACTCTGTCTCAAGAAATAGAAAAATGGGTTGGGGATGTGGCTCAAGTGGTAGCACACTCGCCTGGCATGTGTGAGGCACTGGGTTCAATCCTCAGCACTACATAAAAATAAAATAAAGATGTATCCACCTTTTTTTTTTTTAGAGAGAATTTTTTTTTATTTTTTAGTTTTTGGCGGACACAACATCTTTGTTTGTATGTGGTGCTGAGGATCGAACCCGGGCGGCACGCATGCCAGGCGAGCGCGCTACCGCTTGAGCCACATCCCCGGCCCCAAGATATGTGTCCACCTTTAAAAAAAAAAATAGAAAAATGGCTGAGGGCACAGTTCAGTGATAGAGCACTCCTGGGTTCAGTCCCCAGTACCACAAAAAAAAGAAAAGGAAATGAAGCCAAAACTAGCTCCTGAGAGCTGAGGTAGTGTTTTGTTTTCTTTCTTTCTTTCTTTAAAATGTTTCCAGTTGTAGATGGACAATACTTTTTTTTTTAGATTTCTTTAAAATATTTTTTACTTGTCAGTGTACCTTTATTTTATTTATATGTGGTGCAGAGGATGGAACCCAGTGCCTCACACATGCTAGGCAAGCACACTTCCACTGAGCTACAACCCCAGCCCCAGACTCCAACTCTGACGTGCGAGGATCACTTGAACTCAGGAATTTGAGACCAACTGTGCAAGACAATCAGACTCTCTTTTTTTTAATATTTTCTTTTTCCCTTCTTCAGTGGGCCTCAGGCTTTCATCTGAGAAAAGCAGGCTAAATAGAATCTCAGCCCTCTAACATAAGAAGCTGTCATGAGTTAAGAGCATAGCTCAGTGCTAGAGCACATGCTTAGTATGTTTCAGTTCCAGAGTTGATTCTAGCACCCAAAGACAAAACCTGCCCAAAGATGACAGGTCCTTAGGGAGACCTGGCTTCTGGCCGAGTTGGGCAGAATAATGAAATAACTGGGCTTGTTGCAGCCCAGTTCAAGGACTCAGGCCTTTGGCCCAAATGTCTGCTTTGGGAAGAGGAACTAAACCTGGGCAATCCAGATTCCCCAACAGCTGTGTGAGGCCTCGTGCTTTTCTTCCAAACAACAGTTGCTTTCCTGGAGTCACTAGGCATGTCCCCAGGATAGAGTAGGTGCAACTGAGAGCTCTGACCTCAAGAGCCACACTTTTAGTACCTATTCCAAGGGAGGACTAGGAGCAAAGATTGAGAGGGACCCCCACATACAACCATTGCCTATCTGCTTCAAGCAGCCCTTCTTCCTTGGAAGCAAGGCATGGAACCTAGCTCAACCATGATCATCATCCCAGGCTTCCCTGTCCCAGCCTGGTGGGCTAGAACAGAGCCCAGAATTTCAGAGAAAGGTTATCACCTCCATCTAAGCAAACTAGTAAAGGAAGGGCTGAGGTCAGTCTTTGGATAAGCAGTTCCTCTCACTCCCAGAGTCTATAGGGTAGTGGGAAGAGCTGTGGGTTATAGAGCTTAAGTCCTGGGTTTTCTTACCAGCTCAGCTATGGAATTTATGACAAATTTCTACTTGATCTTGGCCTCAGTTTTCCCAGGGTCCTTACCTGTAGGATTCTTTGAAACTATTCTTCCCCATTCTGTAATCACACAGTTCTCCATACTCTCCTAGACCAATGACTCTCCCTTTAACATTCAATCTCTTCCTCGGTCTTTCCTACTTCTTTAGGCCATAGTACACTATCTGTCCCAATCCCTTTCCGGATTCAGACTCCTCCGGTTTCTGTGCCACCCATTCCCGTTCTTTCTCCCCAGGCTCACCCTGGGCCTTTGATCAGTGCTCTTATCTAAACCCTCCCCCCCCTACCTCCAGGTCATATACTCCTCTTCCTCAAAAGCGACTCCCTGCCTGACATCATCTAAGGACACAGCAGCCTTCTCCCTGCCCCTCCTTATCCGGGTAGACCCCTGGCAGGTTCGGACCATGAAAGCCCCAACTCAACAGGCCTCCCCACGCCCTGGCCCAGGCTGCCACCTCTGAGCCCCGCTATCCAACCTTGTCCAGGAGGAATGGATGCGGCCAGCGTACAAGAAACCAGAGTAGCAGAGAGCTGTGCCGAGCTAGGTGCGCTGCAAGCCCCTTCCCAGCCGGCATCCAGAGCCTGGCTGCTCGCTCACCAAGTGACTTCATGTAGTCATCGAAATTCTTGCTGTCCACTAGTTTCCAGGTGCCCACGAAGGCGTCCACCATGGTGAAGCTGGGCTAGGCTGAGAAGCAAGCTGCGAGAGATGGAAAGCTTGTAGACTCCGGGACCGCGGCTCTCCAACCGAGCTGCCGCTTTAAATAGTCCTGGCATCACATGATGAGCCGTGGCCCACGCCCGCCCCCTCCCGAAATAGGAAGCCCAGGGCCAGCGCTCGCTCGCCTGGGGGCTGGGCGCCCCTCCCCCACTGGTCAGGCGGGAGGGGACCAGCCGTTGGTCCCGGCTCGCCTGTGCCTGCCCCGCCCCGGCCGCGGAGTCCCATCCCCACGCTGGCAACACCTGCTCCTTTCCCTGGCTTCAGGGCGCTCTTCGGAATCTGAGATGGAAGCGCTGGGGCCCCGGAGCGTCCGTCACCCTGTCCCTGCGGCCGAGATGAGACTAGAGGACAAAGGAAACTCGCCCTTGCCCGGTGACCCCGCTGGGGAAAGCTGGTTGACTCCGGTGGCCCCGGCATCTTGGTCTTTATTTTATAGGTGAGGAGCCAGAAGCTCAGAGGGGCAACGGACAAGGTCATTGTAATGGGGAGCGAATTGAAGCCCAGATGGCAAGCCTGGCACCCGCCTCCCACTGCCCAGGGGCGGGGCTCGGAGAGTCACCGTGGGCACGGTCGGTGATTGAGCTGTCCCTGCGTCCTCACCTGCTCCCGGAGAAAGCGTGACCCTTCCCGGCGCCCACCCGACACGTGCTTGCCCCTCCCTACGGAATGTCGCTTGCCGGCGTCTTTCCTCGGGCGACCCAACTCCCCACCCTCCGGTGACCTCTGAGCTTGCGCTCAGGTCATTCCCTTCACCCACCTTCAGAAATTCTGTCCATTGAGTTCTTCGCGGCCCAAGGACACCTCCCCCACCTGCCTGAAACCCGCAGCCCTCCCTGACCTGGCACAAGCCTGCCAACACTCTCCTGGGCACCTCCTTTAAAGAGCCCTCTGTGCGGTTGTTTCGGCACTTTACAGTTTACAAAGCACTTTTTTATATCGAAAAGACCCTCCTTATATTGATGTTTGTTGCATTTAAGTACATTGTCACGTTGAACTTTCTAAACAAAGTACTTGAAGTAGACGTTATTCCCTTTTTGAGGATGAATAAATGGAATCTCAGAGGAACCCATTCATTAATTCAGCAGTTATTAAAACACTTGCTTTGGACTGGGGCTGTGGCTCAGTGGTAGAGCCCTTGCCTAGCATATGTGAGGCATTGGTTTGATCCCCAGCACCACATAAAAAACTAAAAAAAGAAAAGGTATTGTGTCCATCTGTAAATACAAATATAAAACAAACACACACTTGCTTTGTGCTGGGAACTGCTGTGGAGAGAGACTAACAGGAAACACAAGCCATGCTCAAGTAGTTAGTCTTGGGGAATACTCACTCAACTAGTGTGGTGAATTGATAGGAGGCCTGTCCTGATCTGACCTGGAGCCTCAGGGAAAGCTCCCTCCCTAACCCTGCCCCCCACCCCACCACGCCCTGCCCCCAAGAGAGGTGTGAGTGAATTCCCAGCAGAAAGGCCCTGCACAGGAGAGAATGAACTGCAGAAAGGCACCCAGGAGCCCTGGGGGCTGGCCACCTCTGCCACACACTGTAATGGGGCAGATCTTCCTCCCTGGGCCTGTTTCTTCAAGTGGAAATCTTCCCTTACCCTGGCTGTTCTGGGAAGAAGGCCCAGGAGGAAGAGGCCTCTCCCTCACCCACCAAGGCCTTGATTACTTTGGWCTTGCCAGAAGACTGAGAAGGCCCATTTATGCCAAAGCTATAGGGACAGGCCTCAGGGCTCAGCATGGAGCCCTGGTGACCTCACTTCAAGGTCACACAACCTTTAGACACAGGGCCTCCTCTCATTTATTTTTTAAGTGTGAGTAGGGTTAGTGGCCATTTTATTTGTTTATTTATTGCAATTTGGGGATTGAATCCAGGCCTTGCACACACTAGGAAAAGTTCTTTAACCACTGAGCTACACCCTCACCCATGGGCCTCCTTTCTCAAGCACTGAGTGGACAGACACCCAAGTCCCTAAGCCATTTCCCTACATGATCTGCACATTGCAGTGGGGGAGGGCTGCAGCTGGATTGGCAACTGCCGGCAGAAAGATGTGTCCTCATCCTGACTCCACTGGATTTTGTCTATGGTCTTCAGCAATTCACTTAAGTCACTCTGAGGTTCTGTTTCATCTTTGAAATAGAGGTATTTGGGGAAGAAGAACGCATTTAAAATGCTAAGCATGATTCACTAAATATTCACTCCTGATGCATTGGTTTTGGGGTTTGTTTGTTTGTTTTTTTTTTTGGGGGGGGCGTTCCGGGGATTGTACTCAGGGGCACTCAACCACTGAGCCACATCCCCAKCCCTATTTTGTATTTTATTTAGAGACAGGGTCTCACTGAGTTGCTTAGCGCCTTGCTTTTGCTGAGGCCAGATTTGAACTCTGGATCCTTCTGCCTCAACCTCTCAAACAGCTGGGATTACAGCCATGGCGTCTGGCTGATACATGGTTTTTATTCTCTTGGTGAATGATACAGGATACCTAAGAGTCTGAACCCTGCCCCTCCCCTGCTCCGTCACCCAAGGCTGGTTTCTTTGCTTCTCCTTTCTTCTTCTACTACTACTTCTTTTTAATATTTAGTTGTCAATGGACCTTTATTTATTTGAACGTGGTACCGAGAATTGAACCCAGTGCCTCACACATGCTAAGCAAGCACTCCGCCACTGAGCCATGACCCCAGCCCCACTCCTTACTTCTTTATCCTGAGACAAGACTAGAAACTGCTACAGCTGTGAAGATGGACAGAAGAGGTCCAGCTTGGGTTTTGAGGCACTCTGACAAACCCCACATGGGCTACCCCTGCTCTCACCCATGTCACCAAGTTTAACTTCTAAGTCACACCCCATCCTCCTTTTGCTGATTTTCATCCTTCCTCTCTCTTTCTGACTCTTTGTGTGTGTGATGTTCATTACTGGAAATTGAGTCTAGGGGTGCACTACCGCTGAGTCACATCCCCAGCCCTCTCTACGGAGTCTGGATAAATGGCCCCGGCTGACTTGAACTTTGAAACCCCTGCTCAGCCTCCCGAGTTACTAGGATTTAGGAACAACCACCATGCCAGAAATTTTTCATCTTCCCTTTGAAGTATGTACAGCGCTCTCCTCCCCACTCTGAGTACCTGCATCCTCCTTGCCCTACTATGCTCACGGCAGTCTTGGGAGGGACCACTTGTGAGTCCTGTCCTTTTCCTGTTCTTGCAATTGGCAGATCCAGATGTGGCTATAACATCTGGCAGGCAGGGAACCAGTGCTTTCCAAGAGCAGCATCTCTTCAGCCTGCTCCCTATGCTGATGTCACTCTTCTGTGTTTCCACAGCAACCACAGGATGGAGAAGAGGAGAGATGAGTAAGGAGGAGTGAGCCAATGAGATGGGCCTGCAGCACCGGATGATATGTGGGGCCATAGGAGGGGGGAGAGGGAGGCCTGCTCAGCATCTTCAGCTATTTCCTGGACCCTCCCTTGCCATCTGGGTCCTCCATTAAGGACTGTGCTATTGGCATGGGAAAGAGTTTAGAGGTGGAGCCAAAGAAGCAGAGCTGGAGGGTCCACTGACCCGGGCAGGTGGAGACCCTCTTTTTTGCCCCTTCGGGACCTAAGTCAGCAGGTGCTGACCATCTCCACCTTGCCCTATGCCACCACTAAGACCTGCAACTGGGAATTTTTTCTCTTTTTCTGGTAAGGGTGGTAGATCTCTGACTCTGCCTACCATGGTGATTTTGATAACCCTTTGTTCTTCACCCTCCATACTTCTTTCTCCCTTGGTGCATGGAAGATCAGACACATTCTCCTTAGAAAGAGGCCTCTTTCAAGCAGGACACTGTGGTGGCACATGAGTCTAATCCCAGCTAATCAGGAGACTAAAGGCAGGAAGATCACAAGTTCGAGGCCAGCCTCAGCAATTTAAAAAGAGGCCTGGATTCTGAATCCAAGGCCTGTCAATTACTAGCTAGAGATCTGCAGCAAGCCCTTTCTGTTCTGAATCTTTTTTCCCTTCAAATGCAGGAAGGCCTTCAATTTCTTGGGGTTGTCACAAGGGTTAAAAGAGAGAATAAGGCTAGTTGTGGTGGCACACACCTGTAATCTCAGCAGCTCAGGAGGCTGAGATAGGAGGATCACCAAAAGCATCAAGGAAACGGGATTTCACTAAGCAATTTCACTAGCAATTTAGACCCTGTCTCTAAATAAAATACAAAATAGGACTGGGATGTGGCTCAGTGGTCCAGTGCCCCTGAGTTCAATCCCCAGTACCAAAAAAAAAAAAAAAAAAAGAGAGAGAGAGAGAGAGAATAAATGGAAAACCTAACATGAATAATTATCAAATACTAATTCCTTTCTCTCTCTCTCTGCCAGGTTTCCTCTCTAGGACAGTTGAATGAGCCAAGTACTTTTGAGACCCTGAATCAAAAAGAAGCTCCCAGTGTTTGGCCAACTTCTTTTTTTTTTTTTTTTTTTTTTTAAAGAGAGAGTGAGAGAGGGGAGAGAGAGAGAGAGAGAGAGAGAGAATTTTTTTTTAATATTTATTTTTTAGTTCTCGGCGGACACAACATCTTTGTTGGTATGTGGTGCTGAGGATCGAACCCGGGCCGCACGCATGCCAGGCGAGCGCGCTACCGCTTGAGCCACATCCCCAGCCCCATTGGCCAACTTCTTGTTGAGGTCATGGAGTGGACATTAGACATTGCAGATAAGTTCCCTCCCCGCTCCCTTTCTGTCCCTTTAAATAACCTGTCCACTGCACTACTTCTGAACTACCCGAAGGCCAGGCCCTATGCTGGGCTCAGTGGGCAAATAGGAAAGCTGCAACCCCTGTCCCTTCTCACAGTTTAGAGGGGCTGCAGCCACAGGGGGTGGAGGGACGTTCCTTCTGCCACTAGGAAATCCGCTTCCTTGTTCCCCAAATTCTTGCAAGTGAGAACTGGACTTCTGGGTGCCTGGTGTGATCTGTATCTCAAAGGCAGCTTTCTCTGGGGACAGAGCTGTTTCTAGGAAATCCGCCTCAGGAGTCACTGCGGGGTGGGACCTGAGAGGACACG